TGCCTCACAAAAATTGTTTGATATGTAGTTCGAATTGGATTTGAGTTGCATTTGAGTTGAATTTAAGTTCAATTAATGCACCTTCGTGTCTTTGCCAACTTCAAATTTCAATTGTTCCTCTGTTACATAAAACTTCAATGCAGTTTTCTGCGGAAGTGACAACTTTGTGAGGTTGCGTTACGTTTACTTTTAAGCAATAACGGCAGCACGTTCACTGATTTTGTTTATGCAATTTTGGTTTGCATTACATCAAACCGTTAAATATTATGACTCAAAAATACTTTTAAATGTTTTGCAACAAAAATACTTATGTTTTTGAATACATGAACATTTAAGAATATTCAAATTTTTAATTCATTTAAGTATATAATGTAGTATTCTGAAGAGTAAGTAACTCTTCAAAACAACTAAAATAATTAAATTCTTAAAATTCAGTTAAGAAGTTAAAAGCCTAATTGGCAATTATCTACACATATTTGAAAGGAATAATTACTTTTGCTAACTGATAGTTTAGTATACAGACAAACATTTGTAGAAGTTTTATTATTGTATAATTTATCCTTATAGAGACTAATTGCTTAAAGAGAGACATTGATGGATAGTACTTAAGGACAAAAGGAAAAAAATTAATGCTCAATAATATCTCTTATTGAATTATTATATTGTAATGAAATTAATTTAATAACTATATATATATATATTTCTTTATAAATTCAAACACAAAATGCATACATGAACTATCATTCACATATCACATTCACATATATCACATATCGTATAATATTTAGTTAGAGTACAGTTAAATAAGAACTATGCAACATAACTTTAGTCGTATATCGGAATAGTAGTTAGTATTAGTAGTTATATTAGTTAGTATGTTGATCCCTTTTTCGAGTCAGCGCAACTGGGCACTTTTACTCTTTAATAGCTAGGGGTACTACAGGGTCCCACTCATCTCATTGACTAATTTATGTATTCCCTATAAGTTTTATGATTATTCAGTGATTAATCTAAGATCTGCGTACCTCCCCGTGCGGAGAGTGATTACTCTAAGATTAGATAGTGCTAAGTAGGATAGCCTATCAGTTTTTGCATATAACTTCAGGGCTCTGTCCCTTATGTATTTTTTGATTGGGTCTATTCTAAGGTCTTTTAGTATGTCGTTTGTGCGGATGTACCAAAGCACTTTAAAGAGTCTTCGGAGAGCCTGACTTTGAGCAACTTGTAGCTTTTGTATAGTAGACGCGGCAGCTTTGCTATACGCGACACACCCATAAAGTAATGCTGATCTAATTATCTGGCTATAGATCAGTTTTCTGTGTTCTTCGCGCTAAGGTTATTGTGTTTGAAAAGTGGTTGTAAGCATTGCAGTGTTTTAGCGCAACTGCTTCTTTCGACTTGTATATGCTTATGCCAAGTGAACCGCTTATCAAATGTGGTACCTAAGTATTTAATGCTATCGTCCCAATTAATCACGATGTCATCAACTCTTACTTTCGGTGGATGTTGCATGTGTTTACGTGTAATAAACAGAGCTTTAGTAATATTAGTATTAAAATTATTGCAAAACATAATAAACTTTGACAAAAATCATAATAACGTAGTCCACCGGAATTGCAAAATGAAATTGAAAAAACAACCGAAAGAACTGAAAAACCCCACAGTTTCAAATACAACATCACACAATTATATGTATACATGTATAAATATCCCCTTTAATACGTACCTCCATTCAGAACTACTAACTAATGTAGGAGCCGTATAAAAATCTAAGCCTTCTGGTTCCATTTTTTATGACACTATATATATGTATATATCTTTATTATTTTTAGTGGAAAAATTAAGTAAAATAGGTAGATATATAAAACCTGTAAAGAGCTGACGACTAGCTTATCTTCTTACGGTACAGATTACTGTGAATTTTGCAAAACAGAACAAATATTGTTATATCTAATATATATTTTCTGGATTGTTCTATTATTTTTAATGCAGATGGTTTATAAAGAGAAGCATTAAGTAGTAAAATTAAGCGAAATTGGTGACTATTTAGAACCTGTGAAGAACTAACAAATAGCTTATCCTCTTGCAGAACAGAGTACTGTAAATTTTGCAAAACACCAAAAATGTGGTCCTTACATACCATATAACATATATTTTCATGATTTATAAAATGAATCCACTATAATGTTTATGTAACTGATATAAATATATTTTAACTAAGGAAGGAGGAAACGGTTAAAAGATTTCCCTAATTTTGTTGAAGTTGTTTTGGTTATGTAAAAATTACCCAAGGCAGAGAAGTGCAGGCGACCAAAAAAAAAATCTTTAAAAAATGAAAATACGGAATCAATTTAATTTTTATATATTCTTGTTAATGTGACTGAGTAATACTAATAAAAAAAATGTACAAAACGTCTTTATGTTTACACTGTTCATCGCTAGTGATTCAGGCAGTGGCATGTGTCTTTCACCTTAGACCGATTGAGTACATAATGTGGTGAAAGGTTTAGCAAACATAACAACTCCATGCTAAAACTGCCACTTGAGAACCATAAAAAAAATTCAGTGCTTGGTTGTCTCTATATTCACTAGGCATAACTCAGACTTTATATCCTTAAACATACTGCAAATGCTCAACAATATTAAGATATATAAGTTGAAATCAAAATTCAATCAAATTTAGTGATCATTTTAATAACCTTACAGATAATCGCATATCTTAAAATATAAGATTCCAGCGTCTCATATGCGTCACAAATAAAAGACAAACAGAGATTGCATATGAAATGAATTCACAAATTATTAATATAGGCCTCATTCAGTTGAATGGAAAAGCAGTGTCTTTTCCTTCTGGTTCCTTCTGGTGTGTATATGAACAACGCTAATCTGTGGTAGAGCAGCCGATCATTATTTAGCTCTAGTCGATTTTGGTGTGCAAAGTCACCTCCCCAATCGAACTTAGCCTATGGGAGATATCATATCAGGTAACCGCTCTAATCTAAAGGGAGACGTGTCTTACTACATATTTGCTATTTATCTGTGTTTTTTTATAGCTAATTAGAAGATATTGAAGAAATGTCAACAATTAAAAAATATGTACTTAATAATGAAAATCAAAAATAAATTTATTAGTTGACTGAATCTGGTTTAGTAAGCTGGATACCACATCGGGCCATTATTTGTGCTCAATTGGGTTTTGATGTACAAGGCCACTTCACCAACTTAGCTCAATCTATATATAGTGTACATCACATTAGACTATTGTTTTCGCTTAAGTTGGTTGTAGTGTGTAAGGACACTATTCCAACCTAAGTTAACCTACAAAAGGTTGACATCACATCGGCTTTTATTTGTGCTCAAGTGTGTTTTGCTGTGCAAGCGACTTCCCCAACCTAACCTATAGGATATTTTTGACTACAGGTAATCTATATGTGTTTTTTATATCTTTTTGAAAAATGTTCCGGTTTAAATATGTGTATAGTAATGTCAATGTTTTGAATAAATGTAAATAATAAAAAAATGTGTATATGACAAATACAGTCAAATTTCCATAACTCGAAGTACCACTTTGCAAGGAAAAGGTTCGACTTATGGAGACTTCGAATTAGAGAATTTTTTTGTTATTTTATTTTATTTTTGAAAGAAACTAGAATTTCATTTTAAGATATTTATTTATTTGAAATCAAATACAGTACAGAAGTTATAGTTAAGTAAAATATTCAGAAATTACGGTTTGAGAATTTACTTTTTTTTTCTAATTATCAGTAAAAAGAGATTTGAATTTATTTCAAGCTCTGCCTATAGTGATTATCAGTTGTAATATCATTCGTTTGCAAATAAAAAAACAAAATTTTGGATGAGTCTTCTACTTCATTCTTGGAAGACTAATGAACAATTTCATTGGTTTGGAAAAAGGGACACCCTCTAACACCAAAATGGATTCATACTTAAAACAAAAAAAAATAGACTTATAGAATGTACTTTCACATATTCCAATTGGGAAGTGACAATATTTTTATTCGAGTTATGTAGAAATTCGAGTAATAGAAGTTCGAGTTGTGGAACTTAGACTGTATATACTAAAAAAAGAAAAACGAAACTATCTGGGATTTTGTCAACCTTAACCAGAAATAATATTTAATAACTGGGTGAATCTGGTTGGGCAAGGTTTATATATAGTCCTTTTTATAATTTTATCATTGGTCATTTTGAAGAGAACTGCGAAAATAATATAGATTTAATTTTAATAGATTATATATTATGATATAAGTGTGTTAACTTAATTTCAGTTGGTCTAAATATTTAATAACGCATTCCTAGTGCATTCTCATACATTGATATATAACACACAAAATATGAACAGTGTTTATGGTCTTCATCACTAGAATTGGCATGAATGAGTTCTACTTTTTTGGAGTGTTCCAATTAATGGCAAAAAGCAGCTTTACCTGTTGTGTTCCTAAATAATTGCAAGTTACGTTGCCTTGCCAAACGAACCGCAACGCAATTGCTGTGCAGAATCCTAGTCCTACACACGCTACGGAAAACGAAAAAGAAGAAGAAGAAGAAAACTGGTTCACTTTCAAAAGTGCTGCACTTGAGCCAACAAGCAAAAGTTAAACAGAAAATACATTCAAAATAAAAAGTTAAGAACGGCAAAACCAACAAAAGCAACAAAGGCAAGTCGAATTCAATTGAAAAAGATGCAAAAGTAATTCACAAAAAACAACAACAACAACAACAAAAGTAAACGATTTACAAAAATAAAAATGCGTGTCACAAGATCGAAGTTTAAAAGTAAACGTAAAAAAAAAATTGAAAAGTAGGTTGCAATGATCGATAAAGCAAAAAAGCTGAATAAACAAACCGGCAAACAACAACAAAAACAATAAAAAAAAAGAAAAAGGAACAAAGGTAATTAAACTCTAAAGATGCTGGCAAAGGAAGAGTACAAAATATGTTAGAAAGGAATACAAAATAACGGCTTTTTATTTACTTACAAGGAATATCAAATGCGTAATCCAAAAATGTGTCAATTTAAGTAAATTGTATATAAAAAAAAAAAACAGTTCACTCACGCTTTACTGTGTTGTTTCTTTTAATTCAATTTTATAATTTTAATTTCTTCACACTTTATGCATTTAACATATTATTCACTTTATTTAAATATATATTTTTAAAATATACAATATTTATTCTCTCATTAAATAATTTTTATTTGAAATAACACCAATAATGTTATTAAGAAAGCACAAAACACAAACGCGCCTAAGCTTGCCTTACTACTCTGCTCGCACTTCTAATAACGTCAAGCGGCGAAAGCGAAATAAATGCCAATGTTTTTTATTTTCGGAATCATCTCCTCTTCTTGTATGCAACGTTTCATTTTCAATTCTGTTGTGCTATTTGTCTAAACCCCGCCAAGCAACAGCTTGTGCATGCCTTTGTTGTTATTGTTTTGCAAGTACTCGTCGTACAGGCAGCTTTAACTTGTTTGTTCCATTTTCATTTTGTAGCATTGCACAAAAATACTCCACATTACGTGGAAGTTTTTATTTTGAATTTGGTTAGCTTTTAGGGCTTCGCTTGTGTGTTAAAAACTATTTATTTATTAATATACAAATTAACAAACTTATAAAAAAAAAATGAAGATATTTTATAAATTCATGTTCATATCTGTGAAAATCTTGCTTTAAGTAAAAAAGTTTTTTAGTTTTATCAAATAACTAAAGATTTTATTAAAAACTATTTTTTTAAACAAAAAATTTTTATTTTTGAATTTGGTTAGATTTAAGGGTTTCGCCTACATATTAAAAACTATTTATTAATATTGAAGCAAAAAAATCTTTTATGAAATAATTTCTTACATTTTTTTTATATATATGACAATTATATATTAGCTAAAGAAGTTTTTTAATTATTATTAGCTTATTTACGTATTAATTTTTATTAAAATTGCAAAGAAATACAAGCTTTTAAAAGCTTTTATGCAAATTAAACTAAGCTTTGCGATTTAACTTTTGTAACTTTTCTGTAAAGCTGCAAAAATCCAAAATTATAGTTGTGACAAGACCGTATAATGTTAACACGGTCTTTGGTTGTGTGACGTATTGCTTAGAAACAGCAGAGTTGTTACAAAAATCAAAATACATAATATTACGGCCTTTGTTTTGCGTGTTCGGTTTTGTACCCGTGTTATATATTATTCCAAATATATGCTTTTTGCCTGAATTAGTTGTCGTGGAATTAGCAAATGTGGAAAATATAAACCTTAGAACGTAGAAAAAGTGATATGTTACGACAAAATACACAAAAAGCAAAAAAAATACAAATAATACAAGTTAAATCCGCTCACATATGATGTCTAAGTTTTTTCAATTCCTAACCTCTTATGTGAACGATATTGACAGTGTCAATTGTAATCCCGTTCTACAATTGTGGTTACAATGATCGCTTGAATAGAGTTAAGCTTATTAATTAATTATTACTTAGCAAAAACTTCTTGCCTTTTTCCACTCACTTGCTTATAATTTTGTTAAAACATATTTATTGTCTAAATACTAAACCTTTTGTTTTCTTATGTCTGTTGTTCTCCTTATTAATGAAATGAGATTTCAGCTCTTGACTTTTAAGGTCCAATGGCTGAAATTTGTCAACTTTGCATATAATAAGTTAATGTCTTATTTTCGATGCCGAAAAACAAAATCCGATCACCAAATAATTAGCGCACAAACAAATGCGGTACAATTGGTTAATTAGAATATATAAGATTTCTCCTATTCTTACGTCCAGAAACCAAATTCAATTGATTCGTACGTTTCTCCCTTTTATTTTCTTTCGGCACATATAGTCGAATAACATTTTTTTCTATAATGTAGAACGGGTCAACTGATTTCTTATAGCATAATTAATTCAGTCTTATGCAATAGTGTGGCAACCCTTGAAATGCGAATATATATATTGCTGTCAAAATCAAAATAAAAACGGAAAAATAAAATACAAAGTCGTGGATTTTCAATATTATTTACATTTTGCTTTTAAATTGTGCAATTATTTGTTTTTGAAAAGAAAAAAAGAAAATAAAAAAGTTAATATGTGAATAAAGGTTTATTAAATAAATTGTGTTTTTTTTTGAAATTTTTAAGACAATATAATAAATTATTTGAATTTTTGTGTATGTGTTAGCAAATATTAATATGATATGTTATAAGAATAAAAAAGAATAATTCTATTAGAATTTATTTCTTATTATTTTGATATTTATTATTTTCTTTAAATTAATTACAGTACACATAAAAGTTTTTGTTATACCGGCAAGTCGAGTAAAAAACGTTTAAGTTCAAGTTTTACTAAATTTGATTAATTTTTTGTATAATTTGACTTTTTTCAATTTAAATATTTGAGGTGGACGTCTACTATCCAAAAATAAAACACTTAAGATGCTAATTGTAATTTTAGATAGTTATGCAGTCATTAAAGTGAGAGTGCAAGTCTGATGCACTCACCATTGGTTTGGGAGTTAGTCAATACCTGTACAAACTGAAATTAAAAGCATTAAAATCGGAGACGAATTGGTTAACTAGTTAACTATGCACTATTTTTAATACAATCAGAATGTGAGGTTAGGAGGAGCAGAAACCAAAGAGTACATCATATGTATGGAGAACACAAGAATTTCTTACATATTTTTAATGAAACTCCTGTTCTCTTCTTACAACATCGGATAAAAATTTTTCACAAAGATTTGATTGTTAAATCAGGTTGGTTAAACATTCATTTAGAAGAGATTAAGCCTATTCTGTATATATCTGAATGGAAAGAATTCTTTAGTCACTATAAATTAGGCCAGATAAAATAGCTAACACAATGTTCGCACTGGTTCGGACAGCCATTATTGGATACTGTAAAACTTTAATAATAAAAATATCGTAGCGTTACGGACAGCCCGTTGTTCGATATCGTATAACTTTAATAACGAAAATAACCAGTCCAGTCTTTCTTTAACTATCGCTGCATTTCAAGAAGAGCAAATAAAGTTCCTTCAGATACCAAATCAACTGCCAATTAATAATAAAATAATGTTAAAATTCATTATTAAAACAAATACCTCTGAAAACTACGTCTAATAAATTTTACAAATAGTTTTCAAGATTTGTTTAAAGAAATAATTGTGAATTGCAAATATTAATTTATTTCAGAAAATAACTTTTAAAAATGGCAATGTTCGCAATCGATCAGACCGACTGCTTTGCGCATATAAATCAGGACTTTTTGATCTGCACAACGGTGCACAAGGCACGTAATATTGGAATCTTCAATGCTGAGACGTATGTACGCGTTTCTTTGGAAAAATCCCATAAAAGCACGAAAAATTTTCCCAATTCGGAAAATCCCTACTTTAATGAGGTATCTCTTAATATGATTTTTTAATTCTATATACCATATCATACAGTGTTCTCTTTACAATAGTACTTCGTGTTTGAAATGAAATGCACTTTAAACGAACTGCTTCGCTTTACCATTTTATATGAGTTAAAGAAACATGCCACTTGTAAAAAAAGTCAGGTGCTTGGGGAATTGCTCATCGATTTGCAAAGTGTTTGGAATCAACCAAATCGTTGTTTCTTTAAGAAATGGGGTCGACTCGAATGTCCCATTGGGAGCGATAATAAAAATGGTGAGCAAGGCAAAGGCTTTTTGCAAATTGACTTAGCCATTGTGTCACAGGCAACGAATACAACGCCATTATTACACACATATGAAGGTGATATGGCAGGTATGAACAAATGGCAAGTCAATCAGGACTATGATGATATTGAAAAGTAAGCGAATATACTATGTAAAACTTTTGATAATTAAATGCCATTTTTTATTGCCAATTTAGCAACCTGCTGCAGGGCGTAGACAATAGCGTACAGTGCAATATCCGATATAGCATTATTTTCTATAAAGCATATATGATGAAAAAAAGTGACTATATAATTCAAGTATCGTCAGTTACAATCAATTATAAGGCATTCTTATACTTATATTGTACAATTTTTAAAGTTTAGATTCCACCCTTTTAAAGGCAAGACTTCTGTTTGCAAGGCGTCATCCAATCCTGAATGGAACTATGAGATTAGTTTTGCTTGGGTATATCCATCGTTGGCACAGACTTTTCTCATCCAAATATTGGCACATGAGCACTTGCATTGGAAATGTGTAGGAGAATACGAAGTACACTTCGATGAGATTGGTTTCAGAGGTAAATGTTATAATTTATTGCATTGCCTTTGTTTGAAACTATTTACTTAGATAAACCTTCATTGGGCCCAACTTATTTACACATATATGATCCACATAATTCAACGCAATATGTTGGTCGGCTTTTAATTGAAATACGTTCCGAGTGCTTTAATGATTTTAAACCAAATCGTGATCTGACCTCACGTACAGTGACTTCGCTGGACGAAAAACGCTGGTGGCAAGATGATGTTTTTGTCATGGAATTCTTAGCACTACAAGGAGATTTTATACACTGCAATGTTAGTAATTGTAAGCTTAATCTTAAATTAGCAGGTAATGTTACAATGGATTACACATTTTTAAAAACTTTCTTGACTATTTATGACTTTCATAAAAGAATTTACATCGAATCAGTTGGAATGTTTTCTGAAGTCCTATCAGGTTAAAACCAACACATCCAATAATCTAAAGCACTTTAATCAGGAAAAGCCCTTTAAGTCGATTTATCTGAAAGTTACATTACCCGACAATAGACACAAATTTGACAGCGATTTCTTCTTGCATGAAATTTTGGAGTTTATGGTTCGTTAAATGTATTACCTATTAACTCTTATATAGCCAATATGTACATGTACATATTTCTTTTCTTTGAAGAAAACAGAAATAGAAACTTTCAAAATTTTTCAACTGAAATATGCTTATCAGTTCCAAATGCAGACGAAATGCTTGAAGTCAATTATACACTCGATACTAATTAAGATTAAGGATGGTTTTGAAATGAGGCGTCTAGAGTACAGTGGGTTTAAGGATCCAACAATTTGGGATAATAATCGTTTGTTCTTTTTACAGGAATATATAGTAAGTTTGCAAAACAATTAGGAATCTCTGCATTATCAAATTTTTTTCAGAAAAAATTGGCGGAGAATATACAAACCATGCGGAACCACTTAAAATCTGCTAACTCAACACAAATTGAAAATATAATTGAAGAAGTCCTCAGGGAGTTAGTGGACTACACCAAAGAACTTAGTCATCTACTGATTACTACGCGTGTTCAAGATGAATGGCCCGACCTATGTATTACTATTAATGTGTCAGGCAATAAACCGATTGCTGCATGTCGTTTAAATGCAAAATATTTCTTGAATCCGTCAAAAACCATGCAGAATAGTTTAAGCTGGAATGTTCGAAATTTTGTCTTTAAGGTGAGCTATGTAGTATGCAATTCTATACGATTATTTTTTTTTATATTTTAAAAAACATTTACAATAAATAATGTTTTATACACACTCCAATGCTTCCCTATGGTTACCCATACCTATTAAGGTATCTGAATTTGGTTGGGTTGGTAGAAAAGAATTTATTTGCAGTAAATTTTTTGAATTTTCTAAATAACTATGCCAATTTTTGTGTCAAATAAATAATATTTCTGGGAAGTTTTTGTTGCCAGCTTTCTAAATAAGACAACCATACTATATACAAAACACATCATTTATCGCACTCGTTTCCTATCTAAAAAAGGTTATTAAAAGTTGTAGCTGTTATAACCAATATTTCAGCAATATTACATTTCGCTGAATGTGTCCTTCGACTAGACGTCAGGGTGTTAGTAAAGTTGTCACTTGATGAATTCATACCATGCTATCTAAAAGACTGCTCTTTAGAAGTGAAAGAAAGGTGAAGTAAGGTGAAGTAATTTCCCTTCTGTGGTGGTTCCTAACTGTATTGCAAACTCTTTGGATCCATGTGATTTGTGCTGTACCGAACAATAAACTAGCGGGTTCTTTCACAATTCTCATACAATTAAAGGAAAAATATCTCACAGCACGTATCGGAGTCAGCACACAGTTAAGCATCACATCACATCACACTACAGCAACTCATAGTCGAAGAACTTCTTTAACTTAATTATTTTATTATACTAATTAATTATATTCCAATATTTATTTTAATAATTATCCCTATGATCCACATATAATCTATTACATATGTGCATTTAATAGGATATAAATTGCCAACATACTTGTATCAATTGTGGTTGTATACTAGCTGTTATTCAAGGATGTTTAATGGTTATTGTCGAAAGTGAGAGAAGTGATCACATTAATACATTTTCACAAGATTGGAAGCAGACTGAGCCATTTTATTGGAATCCCACAATCGCTTATACAATGTACAAGTGTCGAATTTTTATACATCAAGCAAAAGTACGTCCAGGTGCTGACAGTACAGGCCTTTGTGATCCGTACGTGCGTGTAGTATTTGGTGGACAAAGTGCAGATACCCCAACGGAACATGCAACCCTTTCTCCAATTTGGAATGCAGTTATTTGCTTCGAAAGCATTATTCTTTCTGGCAGTTTACAGTGGTACATTCAAAATCCACCTATAGTTGGTATTGAATTATTTGATACCGATAAACGTACAGCAGATGATTATCTTGGTTGTGGCGTGTTACCTTTAACTGTGATAAGCAGTGATAGAGCAGATGCCAACACACGGGAGGAACCGGATAATATGAATAGACTTGACTTCTCAAAGATAGTAAGGACGAAAAATGCACTCCATAGGTTTAAGCAATTAAAAGCAATTTCACCTCCACCGCTTAAGTGGATACCTATTGCGTTAAATGGTGGTGTGCGTGCGGAAGTATTATTATCAGGTGAGCTGGTACAATTGGAGGGTGAAATTAATCCCACTATGGAAATGGAACATACTATAACTTTTGGCATTCCCAATAGTATTAAACCAAATATGCGTAACTTTGTGTAAGTTATCAAATTTTAACGCATTTATAAGTCACCTATAAAATGTTAATTTCTTAGGTTAGAAGTGGTATTTGTCGGCTTTCGAAATTATACAAAGTCAAGTGGACGTCATCGCATAAAGGTTATGATGGGGGATTTGGTACTTGTAAGTGGATTATCAGCATCACGCATTAAAAATTGCATAAACTTTTTGGTGTTGTATGCTTCAGGAGTTGTGGTAAGTTGTTACAAAGCAAATACCTGTCAATTAGAGTTTATACGATGTCCAGTGTAGAGTTTACCAGAACAACTGGAATATTGGCCCGCAATTATTGCAACTGATGTATTGGTTTCAGGACGCGGTAATGAGAGCACAATAGGAGCCGTGCTTATACCAAATACAAAGCGATTTTTACAAACAAATAAAAAAATGAAATGCGTACCACAAGTTGAAACGGACATGGAGTCTAAAGCGAACACTACTATTCATTTTGAAGAAGATGAAGAAAGTCCTCTTCTGGCGAACAAACATAAAAAAGGATTCTTTGAGCGCTTCAAAGCAGGAGCTTTTAATACTTTTAAAGCAGATGGAAATAAAAAAATTAAATATGATGCCAGCCGAGCTATTCAGGAACATGACTACAGTTGGTGGACTAAATTCTACAATTCAATGCCGACAGTGAGTAGCAAATAATATGTACATTGTTCTTTTATTATCTATAGATTTAATATTATATATAGTTTGATTTGGTTTAGGAACATCAAGCGGGTAGCAAAGCGTATTCAGAACACAAACACAAGCTAACTATTTACAGTAACGAGTTGGAGAAGCAATCAGACTTAAGTTACCTAACAGATTGGGCTGAGCCGGTGAAAATGGTGCATGGAGTGCGCTATAAAAAAAATGCAGCTCCCAAAGAAGAAACATACGCCACCCTGAAATTACATCTGAAGATAACTCCATGTCAATGTGATGCTAATGGTGGTTGTGGAGACGGCGCAATGCTGCAGCCTTTAGCAGCAGCCATGAATCCCAGGTACCAAGCACAACTACAAGCCCTTGCCGATATGTGCAAAATAATAGTGCGAATTTATATTGTGCAAGGCATACAATTTAGACCGCACGATAAGAATAGTCAATCTGACTCGTATGTGAAAATAACTTTGGGAACTAAGAGTATATTTAATAGAGCACATTACGTGCCGAATCAAAGTAATCCAGTTTTCGGTAAATGCTTTCAAATGGAAGGTGTATTACCTAGGTATTATAGGCTTTATTTAATATTTGATTTACAACAAAATTATAAATTAAATAATAATTAATAATATAATTCAACCTTTAATTATAGAGACCACATGCTAGAAATTAGTGTATTTGATCGAAATCGTTTACGAGATGACATTATTGGTACTACATTAGTAGATTTAGAAGATCGTTGGCGTACTAAGCACCGAGCTACTGTCGGCTTACCAAGAGAGTACTCCCAGTAAGTTAACAAAGATATAGACGAGTGTTACTATAAGCAGTAATTAATACCTTCACCTTTTATCTAATTATTGAATAGACATGGCTATAATAAATGGCGAGATGTTATCTCACCATTTGAATTGCTTACACAATTATGTCAATCACGTGACTTAGATCCACCAAAATTTGTCGGACGTACTCTTCAAGTAGATTCATTAACTTTTACAGATGAAACACAAATTGCTAAAGGTACATTGGAAATTTTTTTTGCTTTTCTTAATAATTGTATTTATTATTTTATATTTCAAAAGATCAAGATTTACAGGAACGATTAAGTTTAAGTGCACTAAAAAATTTAGAGTATTGTCCACATTTTGGTTATAAATTAATGCCAGAGCATGTGGAAACGCGTTCATTATATCGTGGCGATTGTCCAGGAATAGAACAGGTGTATTGGAAGTTGTGATTAAAAAAATATCTTTAATATGATTTGATTTTAACAATTTTTATATTAAATTTTTATAGGGTAAATTACAATTATGGATTGAACTTTACGAAGGTAATGTAAATATACCGCCACCAATTGATATAACACCACAGCCCCCACAAATGTATGAACTTCGTGTGGTTGTTCTTAATTGTTCTGACATACCATTAATAGAGAGAAATATATTTGGAAAAAATATGAGCGATATTTATATCAAGGGGTAAGTATTTACTTAAATTTTTTAACAAGAGTGTTGATCAAGATCAAGTAATTATTATAAAGTTCAAAGATTTTGCTCTCCGATTGATTGTAAATTTAGCGTATTTTTCTAAGTCTAAATCTCTATCTGGATAAATTATAGTATTGATCCCACTTTAACGAGTCTTATGTCTTCATAAGATTTTCATCTTTAGATAACAATCTTAATATTTCCTAAGTTTATACAGCAGTATCTGGCAAACTCCTACCAATTGTTTTGCAATTTTTTTTTCGTTCCAACTAAACCTAAAAGTTTCATTAGAATAATTTTGTAAAGTGGTAAGTTCGCCCTCTCAGTGCAGCAGTAAAACTTAAGTTATGTTTATTGAGTTCCATACAATTTTTAAATCGTTCAGATTGAAAGTTGCTATAAGCAATTTCGATTGTGATAGTCTGAATAGATTAGTCAGTACGTCTAATTATTTCTTTTTAGATAAATGAGAAGAAATTACCTACTTCTCAGCCAAAATAATGGCTCCCAGTCTACAATAGCTAGATTGCTGGTTTTTTGGTAAGTTGTATTTTGCTAAGCATTTCAGTACGGGTCCATAATCATCTGTACCGACGAACTCCTGGATAGAACTCCCGATACTATTCCGGTATTGTTTCACTTACTAGTAGTGAGTGAGTTTCACATCCGGCACTTATCCTAAAGTATAAATCTAGTATATAAAAGCGCGCAGATTCGACTGTTCTGACAGTAACTTTGAAAGTTAAAGTAATCAAACCTGTATCTCGCTTAAATTTCTGCTTGTTAAATAATTACCTAGCGGGTCTTAGTATTTCAGCCTCGATCCATAATCAGTTGGTCCGATTATTTGCCCATTAGCACCTTTAAAGAAATGTTGCGTTAGGTGTGATTAAACTCAAATGCACGCGGGTAGAGGGACTGCTTTCTTTAACATTTATTTGATGTAAAGTTGCATTTTTTTAATCGGATGCTGTAATCCAAAAAGCAGTAGGCATATTGAACAGGTATCGCTTCTTACCAAGTAGTTTCACGTGATACGTATAGTTTCAATTGATACCAACAAAATTCCTTTGAACTCCAATGAGATCATTAATCGAAGCATTATCTTTACTTATGTTGAGAACACTGTTAATTTAAGCCTTCAAGGCAGGTATCTTTCAGTCTATAAATTTAATTTAAAACGAAAAAAAGATAGTCATTGGAGACATCTTGAAATTATGTTTTAACAAAAAAAAAACAAAAAGAAAATAATTAAAAGTATCTAATTTAATTTATGTAGCATAATTAATTGTTGCTTGATTATAATATAAATGAGTAAAATCGCAGATTTTGATTAATTATTATTTAAATATTACAAGATAAAATAATATTATGTTACTTAAATTTCTATGTATTTTTCGCGTTCCTGAGGTGGTGCAGCAATCCGGTCGAAACACAGAAAACCGATGTCCATTATCGCTCAATGAATGGGGAAGGAAATTTTAATTGGCGCATGCTGTTTCCAATAAAATACTCAGTAACTGAAGATATGGTACGGTAAAGATAATAAAGATTATAAAGTTAAAAAATTCGCATATTAATTACACATCATTATTTAAACGTATTTTCATTTAACGCACCAATTAGAGAACAAATTAGTTTGAGATTAAAGATTGAAATGAATATCTTGAATATAATAAGGTCATTAATTAATGTTGATGATTCGAAGAAATAAGAGGCAAACCCCTTATAAGATTTTACTTCGTTTTTATTAATAATATTTGCTATTTATTATTATTAATATATATTATTTTCTTAACATAATTAAGTACCTCTATTTCATGAGGTTTCTAATAAAAAATTTGTTATTAATATCAAGGAATAGTGTTTAGAGGTCATATACATTGATTTAATTTGATATTATGTTTTTCAGCTATTAAACCATGAATTTTTTTATTTTTTCTTCTGATTAGATGGTCGTAAAACGAAAAGGAGGTATGCTTGAGGAGTACGAAACTAAGCAGCCGGTCATAGTCTATTTACAAGTTTGGGATAATGATACCTTATCCACTGATGACTTCTTAGCTGCAATCGAAATTAATTTATCCAGTTTACCAGAACCTTATGCAAAAGCTAAGGATTGTCCTACAAATGACGAATATTCAAAATTTAAAATACCATTTAATACTGGAGGTTCTACATCTAGGAAACTTTTAAATTTGTTTCGGGAGAAACATATTAAAGGTTGGTTGCCATTGACTGCTCCGCCGAAATATGAAATAAAACAAAAAAAGGATGAACAGCAAAATTTAGTTGGTGCTGTAAGTTGAAGTGTAAAACATAAATAAGATTATTTATTATAAATTTTTAACATTTTTAATTAGGGAAGAATTGAATTGGAACTTGAGATATATAATGAAGCTGAGGCTGGCTCAAATCCTGCCGGCTTAGGAAGAAATCCACCGAATGCTTTACCTGCACCAGAGTAAGTGATATGTAATATAATTCTCTAATGATATTATTGTTATAATAACGTTTGTGTTTTTTATACTTTTAGTCGTCCAGATACATCCTTTAATCCCTTATTAAATCCTTTGAAATCATTAACAAAAATAATTTGGCCAACTGTTAGAAAATACGTTTATATTATCGTGCTTGTTAGTTTAATTGCATTTGGTTGTGTTCTATTTTTTGCACAACTTCCTTACAAAATATTTGGATTATAATATTTGCTTATATTTTTTATACATTATTTTTAGAATTCAAGTTGTGTATAAATAATATAATTATAAATATTTTAATTAAATCTTTAACAGAACAATTTTTTTTTTAATTTCACATGGATCTCTTCTAAACGTGCTAAATAAAATCAAATTAAGGATTAAAAGTATTTCGGCAATTGCCATAAAAATTAATAAAATAGGCGAGTGGAAAACCCATGTAACCAGTCCTTTCTTGACTCTTCGTTAAAATATTTTTTTATACTTATGTTATATTTGCTGTAAACAAATAAATAAAAAAGTAGAGATCAGAAATATAATTCTGAAGAGGATATGCTTTCTAATAACATAAATAAATGAGCAGCTAAGTAACTGTAATTGCTAGGTATTGTTTTAGACAGAAAACTTACTTGGAGGTAAAACACCTTAGAGCGTGCTAAGAAGGCTAATATTGCGTTGCTCTTCAATAATATGGGCATATCGTTAACATCATGCATACTATTCTTTCTGTGCTGAACTTTTTAATAAAAGATGGGAATACTCAACGATATGCAGTTTCACTTTCCAATAAGATGAAATCCAATTCTTTCATTGAGATGTCCCGTAGCTATATCAGTCTTATGATAGGTTTACCATATTAAAGTAAATAAAGTGAAACAACCTGATACGTTTATAAATTAGAATATATCCTAGCCTTGTGTTATATCTCCTTTAAGTTAGCTAGAAAAGGGGTCACATAATTATATTATAATTATAATATTTATATATTATATATATATTATATAAATATTATATAGATGTGATATATATATTATATATATATGATATATATATTACATATATATATTATATTTATATTATATATATATATATATTATATTATATTTATATTGTAGTTCTTTAAACAAGCTTGGCCATTGTTTAAATAATATACATTTTTAAATTTATTATAAAAAATATATTTAATTGTCACTAATATTTTGATTATAGCCTATAGTCATCTTCAGGGTCTTAATATTGGTTAAAATTAATTTATATGTTCTATTTGTTAAAATTAATTTAAAAATATTAAAATTAAAAAGAATCATGTTAAAATTATTTGAACAATTAACCAATTTATCCGTTTAAAAATATAGAAATTAAATTTTCGTCATTGAATAAATAAATTATATAAGCCTTAATTAAATTTGATATTAACGTCAATATGACGGTAGTGACTATATTATTTAATAGAAACTATTGTATTTAATAAAAAGGTTTGGTAGTTGTAGTTTAAAAAAAATTATTTAAGAAGAATTAAATATAAGAAATATATAAGACCACTGATGATGGGTATTTGGCTCTAAATGGCTTTTTGTTCAGTTAAAAATTGAATTAATTAAAAATAAGTGAAAATTTGTTGTACTTTAATACTTTTCGAAACTAGAGAGATTCAACACTAAATAAATACTAAATACTAAGAATTATTTAGTATTTATTACCCGTATATTAAAGATTTCTAATATATTTCAAAATATTTTGTATAATCTTTAGTATTTAGTATTTATTTAGTGTTATTTAGTGTGTCTCTTTGACAAGTATTAAAGTACAACAATAATTTTCATTTATTTTTAATTATTAATTATATATCATAAAATCATTAAATTTGCGTTGGTCTTGATAGTAATTGTTTGACGCGCATATAAAATAACTATTTTTAGCAATTACTCTATTGTAAATTTATATTATTCGATATGTAAAATAAAAATTCAATAGCTAAAGGATAGTATTTTTAAAATTTCCATTAAATAAAATATTCTTTACCTTTTACATCATTTTCCCTATATGATTAATGTGATGAATTTGTATTAAATTACTATAAAAATTCGCAAAAAAGAAAACTATACCAAAAAGGGCAAAGGATATATAAGCCCATTTAGTATATAATAGTGACATATATCAATTTTTACTCACTGACAAAAGCCATTTTTTTCTATATATGAGACTATTCATTTCAGACAAGGGTGTGTATATGTTTATATAGCCAATTACGCTTACACGATATTAACCATTGAAGAGTTAAGATAAACTATTGTATTTCAATTACAAACAGCTAGTGAATGGAAAGATAAATAAGAGGAGTGAAACGCTTTATGTATATAATTAAATATATATTAAATAGTCGACGAAGCTGTTATCATTTACACAATTAAAAGCCACTAAAGGCGACCGCTACTTGTTGATTTTTTATACATGAAACAGTTGCACTGAGGCGGTCATAGCGAACGGTATCGAAAATTCAGAAGCGTATAATTTATACGAGAAGCGGTATCTGGCGTTGAACAATGACAGGAAATAGTTGAAAAGGACCGAGTACAAATAATTTCACAGGGAAGCCATAGTTGTGAGCGACAGTATTTTTTTTTATTATTTTTAAACTATTTTTAAACTAAATAAAGAGTCAAAGTTTAGTGAATTTCATTGAAGTGAAAGATAGTGAAAGTGGTACGATTTGTGTGGTCACAACATGTTTAAAACGTCATAAAAATGTTATAACGTTAAAGAACCACAAAAAAGGCTGAATTTCTATATATATATATATGAACGAAAACTTGGTTTCCCTAGGGTTCCAACACTCCTTGCGCTTTGAAATATTAAACAAGTTATTTGTTTTGAAATTTATGGTCACGACGGCTGATATGTAAAAACATAAAAAAGGTGTAAATTAGGCGTTCAAATTAATTCTACCAAAAATTACCAAAAATTAAATCATACTAGAACTTTATTTTTGTTAGTCTTGTGGACGGGAAGTGCCATATTAACATATGTTAAAAAATATTTTGAGTGTTGAATAAAAGTGTTTAAAATTTTTTAAAAATATTTTAAATATTATAACTAAAAATAAAAAAGAAAATAAAATTAAATAATTATTATCACTAACAAATTTAAAAAAAAAATTGCTATGTGTAAGTGCAATAAAAGTGTGGCATATTCAAGTGTATTTTACTATTACAGGCGCAATAAATACAAATTATTAGTTGTAAAACAATAATTTATCTTCATAAAAATAATTGCATTATATTATAAACAAAAGTTATATATGAAATTCTTTGCCAAATACTTATATTTTTAAAGTACAGAAAAATAATTACAAAATCACTCATACGTCCGGTACACATTTTAGTGTGCCACAGTGTGCTACATTGTTCAATACTGTGCAAAAATTACGCAGCTCTTCCATTTGAATTAAATCAATACATAAATAGCACACAATTTTTTATTAATTAAATAAAAGTGTGTAATAAGGTTAATAATTTAATAAGGTAAGTACAGATAAAAGTTGTACGTGTCAAGAGATTTTTATCTTCGAAAGCAAATGCAATTAATTTTCAGCCGTAGCATAGGTCTATATAAATATATATTTATTTTTGCTGTAATAAATGTAAAATAATCAAGTGTTCTTCAGTCCATATATATTTTTTTTTCTGTTCAATTATGCAAATAACAATCTACTTTATTACAAATTGTAAAAATATCGCAAGTCATTATGGTCACTTCTGCGGAAAAATATACATATTCCGAAATCATACAAAAAATTAGGAAAAGTCAACGAATTCATTTGTCTTTCTTTGTTATTTTTATTTGGCCAAATTAATCACACAAATTGCTTATATGCATTTTTTTTATATTATGTCCCAAGTGGTAAACAACAATAAAAAAGCAAAGGGACGAGTATATATTCAAGTGGTTCTAACTTATAGAGCAGCCCATGCGTTATGTTCTTATCACACTTACTAACTCACGTCACTTGTTGTCCGTACTAGGTTGGTTTTATATTATGAAATTTTATGGTCATGTTTGCTGTTGAAGTCCACAGGATCAAATCTCATTTATAACAATTCATTGTTAAAACTAATTTCACTTTAGAAAGTTGTAGTTCGTTTGCTCTTCATTAAATACTTATTTCATATTATAATTACATTTATATTAAATTAAATTAAATATTTATTTAAATGTTGCCAACGAAAGAAGCTTGGGCGTGAGTTAATTTCAATTTATTTTCTAAAAAAATATTCTTTAAATATAAGTTAAAATCAAAAATGTAATAAAAATTTATTGTAATTATAAATAAATGAAAATATATTAAAGATCTATAATAACTATAATATATAACTATTAATATTACATTAATAAATGTTAAAAATATCTTACTATAAAATGCAACAATAACAATAATTTATTTAAAACTCATAGAAGTGTGAGAAAAATATTGAAACTCTTTTAAATAAATTAAATTAAATCAAATTAAATTAAATTAAATTAAATTAAATTAAATCAAATTAAATTAAATTAAATTAAATTAAATTAAATTAAATTAAATTAAATTAAATTAAATTAAATTAAATTAAATTAAAACAAAAAAAATAAATTATGAAATATCAATTAAAATTAAAAAATAAACAAGAAAATTAATATATTTAAGTCAAAACAATTATATATATTAATATATTATTTATTATTCACTTAGAAGCTTTTCGAATAGCAAAGAAAGAAAGGACAAAGACTAAAATTGAGTTAATTTATTGAAATTTGGCTGACCATACAACGCATTTATTATTAATTATATTTATAATATTAACTACATAAAAAAAACATAACTTCAAAAATATTTATTTTATTATTTGTAAAAGTTAAAAGTTAAAGATATTAGGAAAAATACGTTTAAATAATATAAATATTAATCAAATGTAATGAAATACTGAAAAAAAAAATTTATTTAAATAGCAGTTAAAATTAATAAAACAAAAAATTATTAGACAGAAATCTAAAAAAAGAATTTATATATTCACATTATATATAGTTACTTTATTAACATGGAATGATAAACAATTTAAAATAAATGATAAAATTTAAAAAAGGCGGACTTATCAAAATAATCCTATAAATAAACAAGGTTATACAAAAAATAATCATTAAATATCAGTTAAAACTCAATATGTTGAAAAGAATTATAAAATGACTATAACTAATTATTATAATATTATTATTAATTATTATAATA